ATATATATATGTAAAAATCGATTTTTATTTATTTCGTGAATAAATATTAATGTATCACTTATAACATACGTCTTACTACTGCGGATGACCATATTTTACTACTTTGATCCTTTATATCTTGGGAAATGTTGACTTTTGGGACTTGGTGCAATGATAACTTTTTATCAGCATGACGAAAACTATAACATAGTGAAATTTCAGTCAATTTGACTGAAAACCATTTTCCATAGGTTTTGTGTGGGGTCCTTTAATGATAAAAAGTATAATTATGTAAAAAACACACTTGCACACGCACACGTACACACACACACACACACACACACACACACACACACACACACACACACACACACACACACACACACACACAAACACATACATATACATATATAGGGTGTCCCATTTTAGAGAATATATTTTAGTATCTGTTCTGTAACTCGTTTGGACAAAAATTTTTTGGAGATTTAAAAGACATCTTATGCAACATGTTAAGATATCTTTAAGATATCTGGGTTGCACTCCAAAACATCTTTTTGAAGGAAAATTTTACTCTTAAATCTATAGTTTATGTTACACTATACATTTAAGAGTAAAATTTTCCTCGGAAAGGACGTTTTGGAATGTAACCTTGGAAGAAATATAGAAAACATCTTATGTGACATTTTAAGATGTGTAAAAAATTTGTTTAAACAGAGATGGGCATTATTTGAAATAGAAACATTTAAAATGGAAATGCAAAATGTAAAATGGCTATTTTGTATTTTGCATTTAAAATATATTTTTCAAAAGTTATTTTACATTTCCATTTAAATAGTTTTCATTACCCATTTTCTATTTCTTTTTAAATAAAAAATGAAAATGCAAACTTTTTCTTATAAACTAAAAAATTAAACGAAATATTCTTTGATAATCGATATAGTCGAAGAAGACGTTAAGAATGAATGCGTTCAGAAATTAGAAGTTCTTACGAAAAAACAGTACGTTGATTGGCTACCTGTGTAAACTTCTGTCGCGCGGCAAGCTTTGCCGCGTCCAGTGCAGGAGCCATGAATCCTCCATACGAAAACTGCGTTTCGATATTTACTGTCAATGCTGATAACGTATAACTTGCCTAATATGAACTATATATTTTCAATACTGGCAGCGAATTTTGGAACGCAATTTTGGACGTAGTGTTAGTTGCGCGCTTTCCGAACGTATCCAATGTGTATCACGCAGTTGCCACAGTGACACCACTGCAGTACATAGTATACACCAAATTCTACGTCCTGACTCTGACGTTAGCTCTAAAGCAATCTATATTTTATAATTTGGCGTTTTGTGATATTTTTTATTTTGCTTTTTTAAATGGAAACATTTTTTTATTACAAAATTTTATTTTATGTAAAGAAGCAAACAACTTTTATATGAAAAATTTTTTATACAACCTCTATTTTTAAGATATTTACAGAGATATCTACAAAATTATTGGATTTAATAATTTTTAACTCGAATTCTATCAACTTTACCGAAAAATAGCAAGAGATAAAAATTGTTTATTGTCTTTTCATAGAGCTCTGAGAATTTTTTCGGAATTTGTTAATTAACTTTTTACTACTTCAAGAAAATGCAAGAAAATGCAGTACTAAAAAGTTAATATAAAATTCTGAAAAAAATCTCAGAGCTCTATGAGAAGAAAATAAACATTTTTTTATTTCTTGCTATTTTTCGGTAAAGTTGATAGAATTCGAGTAAAAAATTATTGAAATAATTTTGTAAATATTACCATAAATATCTCTAAATTATTGAAATAATTTTGTAAATATTGCCGTAAATATCTTAGAAAATAAAGGTTGTATAAAAAATTTTTTCAAACAAAAGTTGTTTGTTTCTTTACGCAAAATAAAATTTTGTAATAAGAAATATATATTTCTATTTAAAAAAGTAAAGTTGATCTCGACCTGACCTTGGCGGCGCCACTCAAGGTCAAAACTGATACAGCGATTAAATAGATCTTCTGAAACCCTACAACTTTTGTCTGAAACATTTTGTCGAAAATTCCGTCCATTAGAAGATATTTTAGTAGAAACTTTAAAATGGGACACCCTGTATATATAATAACTTCTCTATGAAAATATTCTATGATATTTAAAGTCTGAAGATGATGTTTTTTTAAATGATGTTTATATATTAAAATCTGAAGATTATGTTTTTTTATAACTCGAAGTTATATAAAAAATAATATGTAATAAATATAAGAACATATATATTGAAAAACCATTTTTATTTTGAAAACTATTTTCAAAATACCTATTTTCCATTTCTTATTTTAAATGAATCTCTGGAAACCATTTTACATTTTATATTTTTAAATAGGTTGCTTCCAACTATTTTGCATTTTTCAAATAGGTTCAGACACCTATTTTGCCCATTTCTGTGTTTAGATATCTGAAAGATATGCTTGAAACGTTTGAAAGATATATGAAGATATGTTATAGGAGTCTAATTAATATTTCAGAAAATATTAAGGTTCTGCAGTTATCTAAAAGATATCTCATTATAGATATTTTCAAGATATTTCTCTCTAAAAGATACCTTTTAAATAATTTTTAGAAATATCTTAAAGATATCTATAATGAGACATTTTTTAATTAATGGAAAATTTTAATCTTCAAGACCTCCATGTTTTGTAGGTAATAGGAAATATAGATAGATATTCTATTATATACACATACGCATACACGCATGCGCGCTCTTACATACACACACATATAATTAAATTCGTCAAGAATTAGGAATTAAAAGGAATAAGATAAATAGTGAGAAATATAAGAAAATTGGTCCTAAAAATTGATCACCATTTGTTTTATCTTTTAGTTCTAATCGATTATTTTACATGCATTATAATTTTTTATGTATTATAACACAAGATTCATGAACGAGTGCACAACGATCGACACACCATTTTGCTTGTACGACGCCGATCGCAATAAGGATACGAAGTCCTTTAAGGGTCCCGGAGTACTGGTTTGTTCGATCGACAACATGCCCACACAACTGCCAAAGGAATCAACGGACTTCTTTGGCAATCTTTTGTATCCGTATGCTTTGGACATTATACAGTCTGATGCTAAAAAGCCACTGGAAGATCACAATTTCAATCCCGCCGTGCACGATGCCATTATTGCTTCCAATGGACAGTTGACGCCTAGTTTTGAGTATATTCAAGAACTCAGACAGCTGAATCAACGCAGCAAACACAAAGCTGACAACAGAGAGCCACAAAGCAAAACGGTAAAATTATTTTCCTTATTTATATCAATCTTTTCGGAGTTTGTCTTCTCTATAACAAAGAAACTTATAATACTACGATCATGAACAGAAAGATCATCCGTTATATTTTATGTGAGTTTCAGAACGTATCCGTTTTGCCCAATAGGAAAATTCCCTCATTAAAAAAACAAATTTTTCCAGACAAGACGAGTGAGTTCTGAAACTCACACAAACAATAGCGGACAATATTTTACATTTGAACCACTCCAATTTAGATGCACTTTGAATATAGTCATAATATAGATAAAAATAAAAGATATTTATTTTGTTATAAGTGTTTAGTATTAAACTTGGGGTATAAAATACTGTAAAAAAAAAAGAAAAAAGAGAAAATGGGAAGAAACGTCTTAAAGGTTTTAGAATTTTGACGAAAAAAGCAGGTTGTTATAAAAGAAAAATAGCATAAAATATTCTAAAAAAAAAAGAAAAAAGAGAAAATGGGAAGAAACGTCTTAAAGGTTTTAGAATTTTGACGAAAAAAGCAGGTTGTTATAAAAGAAAAATAGCATAAAATATTCTAAAAAAAAAAGAAAAAAGAGAAAATGGGAAGAAACGTCTTAAAGGTTTTAGAATTTTGACGAAAAAAGCAGATTGTTATAAAAGAAAAATAGCCTCTTTGAATTTTTGAAATATGAAACTTTAAAAAATGTTTACATTACTTAACTTGTCTTTAAAAATTCTTTAATGATCTTATGCCGATTAAGATACTATTTTAATTGCTTTACAATGGCATATTCTCGAAAGTAATGTATAGTGAATATGATGGTTACATTCTACGACATTTTATAGTATTATTTGTGGTAAAAATATAATTGTAGTAAATTAAATGTGATATTTTGTGTGTTATATTTATATGTTTTTCATAAAATTAAATGAACTATATTATGAATAGTAGGTAAATATACTTTACACAGATAATCGTTCATTTTTAAAGAATATACACATATATAAATGTAACAAAAAAGTTAACACGCTATATATGTTATTATTATTATTAAAAGAAATATACTAATTATTATAGAATTGTTAATTATTAGAAATTGTTAATTATTTATATAAATTATTTATAGTTAGATGTGCTACATACTTAGTTTTGTCGTTGTTTTATATTACGAGATAGTGGCGTAGCCAGGGGAGGGGCTGAGAGAGATGCAGCCCACTCCGAAATTAATTTTCTGGGTTACGCTAAGTGTGAGAAAAATTTTTTTGAATGACCTTTTTTGTTCGTCAAAAATAAAAAGTACAACTCCCCCGAAACTTTTTTCTGGTTACGCCATTGTTACGAGAAATTATAAATAAAATATATTTTTACTTGTGTATAGACGTGTATAGACGAATACGTATACGTACAACGTGGGGTGTTTTTAATCTATTTATCAAAAATTATTTTTGAAATTAATATTAATTTTCTATTAAAAAATAATTTGTCTAAAAGTTATTTATAATTTTTTTTACAATTATTTATATATGTATATGTTAATGGTTACAATATAATTTTTTATTAGTAATCGTTCGAAATGCATATCTCACGGAAAATTAATTCTTTAAATAAAGTTTGTAATTGACGAGTATTCTATAAAAATTCCATAAAAATATTTTAGACATTCTCAAACATATTAATATGGAAAGATTCGAAAAATATTGAGAAATATTGTAAATTTTTTAAATTTTTTATCAAAGTATCTATAAAATATTTTTCACTATTTCCATGAAAAGAGTTGAGAATCTTTTTCTCCCCACGAAAGAATTCTAGAATCTTCTTGTAAAAATTCTAAGGGATTATATGAGAAAATTTTGAGAATATTTTTCACTGGGGCATCATTAAAAATTAAATTGAAATATATATATTTATCTTGAAAAGATTAATATGCTTATAATTGATTACGTTATTTATACTATACTATAATAATTTAATAATACAAAGAGTTTAGCCACAAATTCGTTGCGAATGCATGCCAAATTATTTATAGCATTACATGTTAACAGGTCGTCGTTCTCGGTGCGGGATATGTTTCTGCACCCTTGGTCGAGTATTTGCACAGAGACAAGGATGTAAAGCTGGTGGTGGCGTCGCAATTGAAAGACGAAACAGACGCACTAGCTAACCGATTTCCAGGTGTGGAGCCAGTTTATTTGAACGTGCTCGATCGCCCGGACACTTTACATGATGTAATCAAATCGGCGAATGTTGCCGTGTCTCTACTGCCATATTCATTGCACCACGTCGTCGCTAAAGCATGTATCGAAACTCACACTCATCTAGTGACGGCCAGCTACATGAATGAGAACGTTAAGGCATTGCATCAAGAGTAATTATCGGAACAAGTGTGTTTTTCTAACTGTGACATATATTATATATGTATATATATATGTATATATATTTCTGTTAATGTAGAGCTCAGGATGCTGACGTTACCGTATTAAACGAAGTCGGCTTGGATCCAGGCATCGATCATCTTTTAGCACTCGAATGTTTCGATGATGTGAGACAAGCGGGTGGCAAGATAGAGTCTTTCATCTCGTGGTGTGGCGGTTTGCCCGCGCCAGAGTCTTCTTGTAATCCTTTGAGATATAAATTCAGTTGGTCCCCAAGAGGCGCATTGTTGAATACCCTATCACCGGCGAAATATCTTCACGAAGGCCAAGTTAGCTATATTAAGTTATCTTTCTTGACATTTTAGACGGTAACGTCTAAAATATTGTACATAAAACTTTCAAAATATTTTAGAAAAAAGTCTAAGAAGTTTTTGAGGAATTTCATAATGTTGCTACTGTCTAAGTCGCTATTTTAATCTTACTTTTAAGTTGAACTTTTTAACATCTGTATATTCTGAAGAATCAATATATTTTTAATACATATAAAAGTTTTACTTCCCAGACAGCACAGAGAATTCAAAAAGAATTCAGTCGTATGTCACCAATTCTGAATTCATTTTTAGAGGTAAAAAGAATTCTTTTCACTGAACTGAACTCTAAAGAATTCTTTTTGCATCTGAAAATGAACTCAGAATTGGTGAACATACGATTGAATTGTTGAATTGAATTCTTTTTGAATTCTCTGTGCTATCTGGGTTAGCATCTCTCTAAATAGCAGAAAACATATAAAATGCGATTTACATGTTTTATATATTTTCGATATATTTTATATATTTTATATATTTTCAAGGATATCTTTCAGTAAAATTATAGGTTACAAGATAAAATCACAAATCAGTTTGATATAGATTACAGAATATTAAAGTAATTGTTAAATGGAATATTAAGGTCGAAACTAAGATTAAAATTTGGATTCGGCCAGTTACTCGTTGCGAAATATTTCATTGATAACGTCAGAAATGAAAAGATATACGCCCGAAATTTTTGCAAAATATGTTGAAATAAAAAGATACAGATCCAGACAGCATAAATTTCTAAAAGATTTCTTAAAAATCCCTTATAGAAATATCATACTAAGAATCATTGATAATTACTTATTATCCGTATTAAAAATACTGGATAATAAGTAATTATCAATGATTCTTAGTATGATATTTCTATAAGGGATATTTTAAAGATATCTAAAAAAGCATAGGACATCTTTACACGTTTTCAAGTTCTAAACTGGATTCACATGTTTCCTATCAACATAAATCGGATTCATGAGGTCACAGATTTGGCGTATTAAATAATGTTAATATATTCAAAAATCTATCTTCTATAATCTATATTTTTACGTTTTTGTTGTTGTTATTATTATTATTACGGTGTCATAATATTAATTTTACAGAATTATGAAAAAAAAAACAGGTTAAAAAGATAAATAGCATGTCGCGTTAATTTTACGGTTATTTATTGATTGTCAGAGCAAAAGGAAAGTTCTGAATATATTTTACAAATCTGCTCTATTGATTGTAAATGTCATTTTGTAAATGTGTCAATTTATTTCAACGTATTTTGCAAAACTTTCGAGCATATATTTTTCTGTTACTATGGCTATAAATTAAAATGATCGTAGAGAATAATCAAGTGCCTTACGAACATTTTTTTTTTCCGTCCATTAGATATCTTTTATTTGGTTCAAGATAAATATTTATATGTGTATACATAAGACAGTTGCTTATATAAATTTTCTTTATTAATTAGGAAGTAGAAATTGCCGGGGGTGGCGATCTTATGTCTGCTGTGCAGGAGTTGGACTTTCTTCCTGGCTTCGCTTTGGAAGGTTTCCCAAATCGCAATAGCACTATATACAGAGAATATTACGGTATACACAATGCGAGTACCGTGTTGCGGGGTACGCTCAGATTTAAGGGATTTACGGACACCATATTGGGCCTACAGTTGCTCGGTCTGATTGATCCTGATCCGCACCCGAGTCTACATCCTAACGGACCAGATATTACCTGGGTATATCACTTTAAAATCTTCTGTACATAATATTGTCATCGAAAATGTTATATTCACAATGTATAATTCTCATATTTGACACTCGAAGGAGCAATTCTTTCTGATTACTTTTTACTTTAATTCCAGCGATTGTTACTATGCAATTTGCTCGGTCTGGCGAACGACAACATCTTCTACGAGAATCTGAAGCAGAAACTGGCAGAAAGAGTAAATTCGTGGGAGCGAGTGAAAGCTATTGAGGATTTAGGTCTCCTGGAAGAAGACCTGGTCTTAAAGCTGAACACTCCACTTGACACTCTCACGCATTATTTGTCTAAGAAACTGTATTACGAGAAAAACGAGCGCGATCTTGTGATATTGAGACACGAAATAGGCATACGATGGCAGGACAACAAAAGAGAATCCAGAGGAATTAATCTGGTGCTTTACGGAGACGCTGCAGGACATTCAGCGATGGCGCGAACTGTCGGCTATCCTGCTGCTATTGCAGCCAAAATGATCCTGGATGGTTCGTAGTTCTATTATGATTTCTTTCGTATTTCCAGATAGGTAGAAATGCTGAGCATAATATACAAATATTTCATTTATACTTTGCGATGCTATTGTAAACAACACAATGTGTTTATCATTAAGAAATTGCAAATATGCTTATCATTAAGAAGTTGTATATAGTATACATTTATTAATAATTGTAATCAAAATATTTATTTATTACTACAATAATTCTGCATTAGTTGTGTTCTGTTTCCGTGAAAATAAGCAGCAATTTTCATGTCGTTCAAATACCGTTCCAACATTGCCGCAAATATCATAGCATCAGAAGTCTTTTTTTATTGATAAAATTCTTGTGAAATGACATATTTTTGTGTACTTGTGCTAGTCATTAAGTAGACAATATACCAAAATATGTCTATTTGGGATTATTTATTTAATTTGTTATGTCTCCTGTTTTCTCGCTACAGCGAGAAACTTGATCATCTTGACTTAAAAAATTAGAAGCAAGAAAACATTCAAAATTCTTGTGAAGTATGTTAAAATAAAATAATGCGTCAATAAAAAAGTATATAATTAATTCAGTATTTTTGTAAAATATTCTAAAAACTATAATTTTTCTCTAACAGTTAATTAATAGTCACAAAATTAACATAATAAAAATATGAGAAAAGGTTAAATTAGGAAAAATGAGGAAAATAGATTAAATGAGAAAGTTGCATATACGTTAATTTTACGGTAATTTATTGATTGTTAGAGCAAAAAGAAAATTTCCCGTGTATATCACAAATGTATTTAGATGGTTATAAACGCGATTCATTTTATAAATATATCCTTTTATTTTAACATATTTTTTCGTAAGAATTTTGGACAGATTTTACCTAAGCTTTGAATCAATGTTAAATTGTTTGTAACCATTGTTAGATGCAAAATAGATTAATCTGTAATTTTTTCAAAACTTTTACAATATTTTTGAGATATCAGTAATATATTCTTAATCCATAATGTCTTGGTGTATGGATCGTGTGAATACTTATATAATTCTCTCTTGTTATTTCATATCTATTATTATAATTTTATTTTGTTTAGGCGAAATTCAACAGCGAGGAATGGTGTTACCCTTCACGCCCGATATATATCGGCCTATCCTTCACCGACTGAGAGCCGAAGGCGTAGAGTCCTTTGAAACTTCCAAATGGTTGTGATTCATCCACCACGCATTATTATAATAATCGTCTGTACATAATATACTTCTTACATTCAAGGCATCTAAAAAGATATCGATGTTAAATATATGAAATATAACGTCTTTCAATACAATCTATAGAGTATTCCATTTTAAATGATCCATTAACATATCTTGAAACCCAAAGGTTTCATAAAAAAATGTTTAAAAAAGAATTTGTACGGTTTCAAGGAAGTTGTCTTATGATGTGACTCATTTGATTTTCAATGACATCACATCAAGGTTAACTTGATATTTTTAAATAGCATAACCTTATTTTTTAAACATAAATTGGTTCCTCAATGATTCTGCGTATAAGAATACTAGAGTTAAAACGTCGAAAAATGAATATTTTTCGAAATATTTTACACTTTATTCTTATACTTTTAAGTATAAAATATTTTGTAAAAAAATATATGTATATATTCACTTTTTGGCAAACTCATTTTATCTCTTTTATACATAGAATGATGGACAAAATCGATTGTTATAAAAAAATGTAGAGAAACCTTAAACAAAATTTCGTTGCACTTTGCAAATTCATTATTGCACCAGTATATTAAAATTAGTATCGCTGATCGACTTCTGTCATTATTTTACTTACAAAAATATTATAGTGAAATTGTCGAAAAATGAATAGTTTATGAGACATTTTATATTTTATATCTAAAATTGTAAGAATAAAATATAAAATATCTTGAAAATATATTAATTTTTCGAAATTTAATTTAATTCTAATACTTCGATATGCAGAATGATCAGAGGAGTCGATTTACATAATAAAACTATGTGATAGTATTTAAAAATATCAAGTTGAGAGAGAGAGAGAGAGAGAGACCTTCGTGTGATTCTAACAAGGTCATTGAAAGTCAAATGAGTGACATCGTAAGATGTGCCCCTTGAAATATATCGTACAAATTTTGTTTGAAATATTTTTTGATGGAATTTTTAGTTAGAATTTTTAATTTTCAAGAAATTTCAATGGGTTATTTAAAATGAGATATACCCTGTATATCATAAGTTCGCACATACCAAAATGATTTTTGAAATATTAAATATTTTATTTTAACTCTTAAAACAGACTGTAAGAAGAGAAATTATCGAGATAGCTTAAGGACTGAATTTTTGTTAGGATTGATCAATACTTAAAATAAACACTTAAATATATTATATATATTTATATACAAGCTGTTCAGTAACAGACGACGGAGCCATAGTATGCAAATAGAACACATCAATTCGAACAAAAAAATTTTCTATTATTTTTCAAACTACCATATCAAATTTTGAGCTATTAATTAAAGAAGATTGGTCAATGATCACACGTTATACAGTGTACATCTATCAAACGGTAAATGAGCTGTGCTGGTGAAGTTTGCCACTGTGTGCTTGTATAATAAATCAAACTGAACGAAAAGGTCTATTATTTTACACATAATCACAGATTCTTAATTATTAATTAAAGATGATTGGTGCATTATTGCACAGTCATATATAAATCTTCTTTAATTAATAGTTCAATAAATAGTTAGTTATTGCTCTGTATATTCCTTAACTTAACGAGGAAGTTACAACAAAACTGACAGAACTGATTCTGCTAATAATTACCACACTAGATTAGACTGTAACTTACATTATCTGATCTAACAAGGAATATTAGGGGCCGGTTTTTCCAACCTCTTGCTAAGCTAACTAACAGTTAACTCATACGTCTGTCTTTGTTTCTCCTTCAAATTAGGTAGAAACAGACATAAGATTTAACTGTTAACTTAACAAGAGGTTGGATAAATCGATCTTAGGTAACTCAAAAATTCAAAAAATTCTGAAATTTTGTGCGCAAGTAGAGTAATTCATCCGTAACACAAAACTATTTTCTTTTCGTGCGGAATTACAGTTTTAGGGGGTGAAATACCCCTTTGAAAAAATCGGTTCTTTTCTTCTGAAACGAATATCGTCGAAACTATAAGAGATAGAATTCAATTTTCCAAAATGAAAATTGAATAATTTCAAAAGTATTTTAGAATTATAATAAAAAATTTTTTTAAATGTTTATTTATTGTATACCCCCAATCACACCCCTATTTAAAAAATTTTTTTAATTTTTATATAACAGAAATTAAAGAGCATTTTACGCTGAAAACGACAATGTATATTATAATTATGTTTTGAAAAACCATTTTTTAAATATAAATAAAAACGTCTCAGTATACGTGCTCCGCACGTATTTATCTTATACCGCATTGGCTGCGCCAGATCAAGCTAGCGTCAAAGGCAAATAGAATATAATTCATCAGTATCAGTACAGCAGCAACTATTGAAATAAGAGCTATTATGTAACAACAATAATAATAATAATGATAATAGTAAATTGTTAACCTAGAACTAGTCAAATATTTTTATGGTATATAAAGAAATGTACATAAAACTTCGGACAATTAAAAACAAAGTATAAATAAAGAAATTATTATTTTTATATAATATCGTTTATTTAATTTTGGCCTTTGATAGAGCAGCTAGTTGCAATGTACTTGAAATAAAAGATATCATATCAATAGTAATTCCGCGCGAACAAAAAATAATTTTGTGTGATGGATAAACTACTCTGCACACAATATTTCAGAATTTTCTGAATTTTTGAGTTGCCTAATCCACACAGCACGTAATATCGCAGAAATATCACAGCAATATTATATTTTCATTGCAATATTACCAGGGAATATAACAGAAATAATGCTGGAATATTACTAAGATATTACAGTAATATTAAAATGTCCGCGGCAAATGCATCACAATATAATGGTGAAAATCACAATGATATTGCTGTGAGAAAATCATAATATTTAACAAAATATACTTATATATTCCTAGTTTTCTCATGTTTCATAAACTACTACGTATCGAAGATTGTCAAATACACTCCAAACTTTCGTGAAATCCTCCAGCGATAATTTCGATCCCAAGCAGTATACTACTGGTCACATCCATGTCCTGACCGCATTAAACTGTTGCTTAACCTGACGATCAAGCACGCATGAGGTGATCCTGATAACTCCAACGATGTTCTTACAATTCATGCTTATATAATGTATTCTTCCCTTATAGAAATATCATACTAAGAATCATTGATAATTACTTATTATCCAGTATTTTTAATACTGAAAATAAGTAATTATCAATGATTCTTAGTATGATATTTCTATAAGGGAAAGGGTTATAGTGTTCACAGTACATTATAATATACTTAGCAAACATCAAATAATAGTTATATAATTTTTACTTAGTGTTTGTTGGATAATTTGCTGATAGATATTGAAACAATGCAACAACATTCGATATGCGATAAATATTGATGTAATGTAGTGAACCAGTGATAATTACTTTTAGATTTTTAACAAAATGTTATAATGATTAATCCAAACAAAAAAAAAAAATTAAAAAATCTAAGAAAATCCAAATTGAACAAACCGAAATATTAAATTTTAAAAGAAACTTTAAAAAAATACTATTTCTGTAAGGGAAGGTGACTTCAAATGACGCCGTAATAACGTTTTAATGATGTCTATAATGTCAAAGAAATTAATATGTCAATTGATGTCACCATTCTATTTAGAATATGATATATTGCTATAATTTAACTATAATATTGCAAATATATAAGTGTAATATTTCAATGATATAAATGTGTAATATTTCAATGATATAAGTATGTAATACTGCAGTAATATTTTTGTAATATTTCAATGACATATGTAAAGGTGCAATATTTCAGTAATATTTCTATAATATTTCACTGTGATATGTAATATTACCGCTATATTGCAATATTACTGCAATATTTCTGCAATATTACGTGCTGTGTGGGAACCTTCCTGTTAAGTCTCTGGGCGTACGTTATGTCGCCATGACAGAAAAAAATCGGAAAATTACTATACATTTGATTTGCAAATTGCACGATAAACAGGATGTAAATTCTATTTTTTAATGTTAAGTGACGCCGAGTCACATTGATAATCTTGATTACTTTGCAAACTGCACAACCCACACAGCACAAAACATCTCAGCAATGTTTCTAGAATATTAAATTTGCAATGTTAAATATTCTGGAGATAATCTCAGAGATATTCTAGAAATGTCTCTGCAATGTTTTATGTCACCAACTTGTAATATTGTTGAGATATTCTGGAGACATTGCAGGGACATTCTGAAATATTGTTGGGTAATTCTGGAAATATTGAAACCTTGTACAAAAAAATCATTTTTATGATATATTTTCAACTCTCACGTCAGTTTATGTTGATTTTAAATGAAATTTAGGTCTTTTAATTGATTTCTCACTTTTTATACCAGAAAATTTACTCAGTACTAATCGGACGCGAACTCGAGAACTGCAGATACTTTCAGGTTTCTAGTGTATCACCTTAGCTGTTGCGCTACTTTTTCAACTGATACTAAATGTTTCTTATTGTCCTCATATGCAACTAAAGCAGTAATTTTAATTTTTTTATAATATTATTTAGTACAACTACAAAAATAAACTATTTAGTCTAAATATTTAATATAATAAAAGAAAAGTCAGAGATATTCTGTCGACACTTGTACCTCTTTGCGTGCCACACTGAGAGAAAAATTATCTTAAAATCAACAAATATTTCCTTGGTGGGTGCCATTAACATATTTACTTAAATCTACATTCTCTTTACTTAAATCAAATATTGTTTATTTAAATCAAGTAAACAATATTTAATTTAAGTAAAGAGAATGTAGATTTAAGTAAATATGTTAATGGCACCCACCAAGGAAATATTTGTTGATTTTAAGATAATTTTTCTCTCAGTGCATGGATAGATCGTTAAAAGAATTTTGTGATATCATAATCTTTTTTCAAAAATAACATTTCATGCTTGTTTATTGCAATTTAATGTGAAATAATTAGCCGCATTTTCGTGAAAATGACAACTGAAAACATTCAATACGGTCAGAATAAATTTATAGCATTCTAATGAACAGTTTTTCGACAATAAGTCTTTCATAGGACGCCAATTTGTGAAATCTTTTCTACAAGAAGAATTCTACCGAAATTTCACTATAACCCGTTACCGCGCTCCGTTTTTCGGTGATCCGAACAGTATGGGGCAGAATTCTGAAAAGTAGTACTGAGATCTTTATTGTTGAGAAATATTGTAAAAATATTTGCAAGATTTTATATGAAGACATTATAGAAACGGTTTAAAATATTTTTGATGTATCATGTATTTGAAATATTTTGGGTATACGCTAATAAAAAACGTACGAGTTCCATTAAAAAATCCCATAAGATACACTTTATAGAAAATTACAGAAATCTTATATGTTTATTGAATGAGTAAATTTTTACTAGGATATCCATATAAAATATAATTTTTCTCTAAACAATTCATTGACTTAGATTGATTTTTAAAAGATTTTAAGTAATAATGTATCGTGGTTTGAAATAGAGTAGTTTCTATAAAAATTTTTTTATAAATATATATACAAATATTTTGAATAATTTCTATATTATCTCAAAATTATCTCACACATATAATGAACTGGATACACACACACATACACGCGCGCGCGCGCGCGCGTGCGCGTAACAATAAATAATTATTATTTCATAACAATAAATAATTATTATTCATTTTAATTACTTGTGTTTATTATTATTATTGGTATACCATTACAAAAAACACTCAATTGTGGATGTAAACACCAAAAAATTGAAGATAAACACCTAAATTTGAGTGTTAACTGACTTCTTCAAGTCAAGAAATTTTTGAATGTACAATGAAAATTTGTACAATAGGTAATGTTTCAAGTAAAATATTTCTAGAATATTCAATTTGTAATATTCTGATATATTTCTCGTGACAGATTTCCAGAATATTTCAAAAACTTCGCAAATGATAATGTTTCAAAAGGAATATTTCTAGAATATTCTATTTTAGATATTTTGAGATATTTCC